GTAAGGCGTGCCAGACGTGGCGTTGGTTGTCGTCTACTATGACACACTACATGAGATAAAACAATGGATTATCACGTACGGCACTCATTGTCATCACGATCCGAGCAGATACCGTACGATGTTGTGTCAGGCTAATATGATGTAGTGTGAACCTGGCATAACTGACAATCATGCATGGTAGACCTTTAAAGCTACAGTACGTAACTAAATATTTTTTAGCAAATACGACAAAACGTTATTTTCAAATGTCACTATATGCTGACTGTCGTATGAGGCACAAGATCTGAAAAAATCATACTCCTCTGCTTCCTCATGGTGCTCATAATGGCATTAGCAAGAATCACAAAAACAACCGGTCAGAGCCAAGAAGTCTCTAACACAGCTGTCAATCATGTCAGTCACTGCTCGAGCACAATTAACCCAAAAACAAAGCATCGCCCACCAGCTGGAGCAAACCTTTTCATTTTACAGCTTAACATTATAGTAAAATACATCTCTGAAAAAATATGAGAAAATATATAGGCAGTGCAGTGACAGAATCTTGATGCATATTTGATCAGCGCTGCCTAGTTTGACAGTGTGACCGCAGCTCCAAGCTGTGATTGACATGATTGACAGCGGCTCTCCCTGACAATAGCCTGTGATTGGCCAAGTCTCCTGTCAGCCTAGATTTTCTAAAGCCTGAAAACAGAGCCAAGTAGAGGTGCAGACATCTAGTGTTCTTTTAGACCACCTGAATAACTATGTGATCAAAGTTTTCAATGGGTGTTTTTGCCCAGTGACACCAAAATTAAGCTGCCTACCCCAGCTTGAACACTTAATGTTGAGCTTAATGGACACCACCTCCATGCCTCAAGTCTATGATTAAAGGAGAATTTAAGCTGCATTTTAACTCATTAACATTTAGGATAATAGCACTCTTAGGTGTTGACATGCTAAAGTTTAGCATGGCACCACCCTAAAGCAGGGTAGTCCAGTCACATCAGCAAGCTGTTCTTAGGGGAACCCTAAAGTGTTTCCAGGCTAGATAGGATATATAATCCCTACAGAGCTCTGGGTCTGCTCTGGGGTCTCTTCCCATTTAGACATTCCCTCAACAAGGAGGCATCCAGGGGGCAGCTTCATCAGATGCCTGAACAACCTCAACTGACTCCTCCAAATGAGAAGGAGCAGTCCCTAAGGCAGAGGCCAGCCACTTCTATCCGCTATCTAACGTCTCTGTTTCTAATCTAAGCTCAAGACCACAGGTGAAGGTTGAAACTTAAATCGACTGGTAAATAGAGAGCTGAGCCTCGGGGCAAAGTACAGTCCAGTACAACGCATGCATTAATCTAAAGGGGAGGCAAAGGCTGACAGGAATTCGGTCAGTTTTCAAGGTTTGCTTTCACATCCAATTCAAGTGCTCGACAAGTGGATATTCTAACCTGTTAGGGACACTGGATAAAAGTCAGTAAATCACCAAAATCAGCAGGACCAGTCTTCTGGGGAACAACCTTCAATCCACTGTGGTCAGAGCATAATATAAAAACAAATACTGTTTAGATATTTATGAAGTTTGCTCTGAATGACTGTGATACCCAGGGGGTGAATCCTGATGTTTCTGATCACCTCCTCACCTTCCCTCTGGTGTTGCCATCAAATCAACATTCCCATCTCTACTTGAGAAACATCAAACTTTAATGGGTAGTTTGCTGTGAAATTTACTTGCACAATTAACTCGAGTACAATGAGCATTGCGGCAACTGTGGTTCACCGTGACCACTGTGGTAAAACTAGACTTTCTGCTCCTTCAGTTCTCCTTACTCTCCTTCCTCCTGAGGAACTGCTCCTTGAAAAAGAACCCCAGTCCCCCTGCACTCAGAATAAAGGCCGCTCCTGTGCTGCACAGCACTCATCTATCAGTTCTTCACACCTCGTGCACAGAGGGGGACATCAATGACACTGATAATTGCTGTCAAGAACACGGTTTATAAGCACATAGGTGTTGTGTGGTGTGTAATCGGCTTCTGTCAGTGTAAAGCTACATGTCTCCTGTGAATAGACTGGGCAGGCTGTTAATTGGAACAATTGTTCCAAACAGTGGATGTTGTAATGAGTTGGGAGAGATCCAGCATGGAAAATTAAAGGTGTAAACAATGCAATAAGTCTGGTTTGGTGTTGGGGTAATATTGTCCTATTGACCACTGTCATCCCTTCACAACTGGTGCAGGAGGGGGGATGGGCGCTCAGTGCAGCTACTCAATGTATCCTCATACAATGGTTCTTAGGGATAGACTGATATGGATTTTTTAGGGCCAATGCTGATACCGATTTTTTTCCATCACCCTTAGCCAATGACCGATTATGGACTGCCGATTTTCTTGAGCCGATATTTGGGGCCGATACTGCTTTTGCTCCCTCAATTTACATCAAAAAAATTGCACAATGATAACAAATATTACAGGTCTCAAGTTTAAAATAAGAAACATTTATTGAACAGTAAAAAATACTAAAACAAGATGGAAAGTTGAGGTAGAACAGGTAGAATATTATTATTATTATTATTATAATACATTCAAATAAAAAAAGAGTTCAGTGCTCTTAAATCTTCCAGTAATGTCTTTATAAAATAAACAAATATTTAAGCTGAAGCATAAATAAAACAACAACTACTGTACACAGTAGGATTCAACAGCTTTGTTCAACTTAACCACATACTTTCAAATGAAAAAAAGTGCCAGGGAAAAATAAATCCGCGAACCCACACGTGTATCGGCCGATGCCGATACAAGTAAAAAACTCAAATATCGGCCCGATATATCGGCCGGCCAATGTATCGGTCTATCCTTAATGGTTCTTATGGTTGAGGAAAATAATCATGGTTGGGTGTCACGATTAGACATGATGTTCTGTACAGTCCAAGAATCAATCTCTGAGGCTGAAAAATGAAGCCAATTCAGAAATGTCAAACACTGCAGTTCCTTGATTGGCCACTTGAGGCTGGCTCCAAAACAAAGTCAATGCCCATAGAACTCTTAAGTTGTGTGTTTCTGTTTCCGGTACATGGGAACTTAAAAATCTATTTCTCATAATGTATTTCAATGGCTAGATGAAAACTATTTTCTGGTCCCGTTTGAATTGTGCCATTAATTTCACACATGTTGTTTGTGAATTTTTAATATATTTTTTCGTGCAAAGAAGGCTACAATTTAGCGGGAAGAAGTTTGATACTGTTAGGTTTTGTGTGAGAGCGCTTTGTGGACTACAGCTCTTCGCTGCTCTCGACGCGTATGATACACGTCACCACTCGCACTCGGAACATGGCTATGTCTCTGATACACTTCACCGCCTTCTTCTAAGGAGAGGACAAAAGCCTTAAGCCTGCGAAAACCACTACAAGTCTGGACATGTGGGAAGTTTCAGCTACGTCAGCATCTTGATCTGATGGCTCCGCAGATTGTGGCAGAAGACGCAGCAGCAGCACTGTGAGTTGAGAAGTGGAGGGAAAGTGTGATGACGTGACGTCACATAGGAGACATGTAGTCTTTCTCATTACTTTGTTTCCACAGCCTTTAACTGAAGAATCATACAATAAACTGTCAAACTCTTAAAATGAAAAAATATTATTTAGACCCACACAAAACGTGTGTAATCCAAGGCATTTAATAACTGGGACCAGAAAATAATAATTTTCTCTCCACTGACTCCCATTCATATTTTCCGAGCCTAGAGGTCCAATGGGGGTCTACTGGAAGGGGCGTGACTTACGAGCTCTATAGACCCCCATGTTAAAATGTCCAACTTTACAGCAGAAATAAACGTGACAACCGTACAAAGACGCATTTTTGTATAACCCACTTGTTTATATTTTATTAAGGCTTAAAGTTGAATATATTGAAGGGCGGGCAGCTTGAGTGACAGGCTGTTTGTTCTCAAGTCTAACAGCAGTCAGATCCATATTATGTTGAAGTTTACAGTTCAAAAGAAAATTCTAAAAGAACTTGTTTTGGCAATTCGACCAAAAGAAATCCTTCAGCCTAAGAGTTGGCCTGGTCAGGCTGCAACATAATAAAATATATTAATACAAGCAGCTGTGCCAACATTTCTGACTCATACTCGGAAATAAACAGCCTCTCTTCAAATCATCAGAAAGCTCAGAATTCTATCATCTATTTGACTTTCTGTCACCTTCCCTTAAAAAAAAACAGATTTCCCAGGTCAGCCTTGCATTCAGGCTGGCCTCTCGTCCAATCGTCAACCTTATTTTTGGGGAACAACAACCATCTGTCACGAGGGGCCGGGAGTCTGCAGGTTTTCAATCCAACCAAAGGCTGCACCAGGTGATTCATTTTTCCTTTCCGGTTGATGGAGTGCCAATCTGTGAAATAACCTGCTGCAGTCTTTGGCTGGAATGAAAACCTGCAGACTCTTGGCCCTCAGTGGCCTGCTACTGCCCCTATTCAGATGAAACTACTCATACAAACACACAAGATTTATTTCTTTGAGGAAAAACGGCAGTTTTGCCCGAGGTTACCGCGCACTTTACTGGAAATTCTAAAAGGAAGTGCTCTTTGTCTGGTCACCATTGCACAGTCCATAAAAATGACTGATGTGGCAGATTGAAATGGGATGAAAAACACCAATGTGCTTCAGTTGGATCTGCTCTGGAAAAAAAAGTCGCTGTTATTTGTTTAGTCAGAAAAATCTAACATGTAATTACAAATCAATTCTAGTGATGGAGTCATGGTTTAACGTGACGCAAAACAACTTATCAAGACAGATGTTTTTGCAGAAAAACTGTGCGCACTTTATCAGTATTTATAGTTTATTACCATTTGCAGTGGTTGCATCATAAACTTTGTATAATACTGTCAGTTATAAAACACCCTCGAGTGGCTAGTATACAGCAAACTGGCCACACCTACATGTTTATCTTGGCACATCGTCCCTTGCTCTTCCTCCACTGCCTCCCTCCCTGTGTAAACACCCCTCACACACACTCACACCCACACACAGCTTACTTTGGATGGCGGATGTCCGGGACGGAGCGATTGAGGGAGATCCGGTCACTGACATAAATGTTGAAGCCGTTTTCTCTGTAGGCCTGGTCGACACGGTCAGCATCTGTCAGGGGGAACGCTTTCCCCTGTTCACCGTTACCTGCATCAAACACACACAGATTTCACTATCAAGACAAGTGCAAGACCTCAGTGTATTAGTTCCACCACACTGTATCTCCTCTGCAGATAAATATATATTGCAGGAGTTACTGAAAGCCTACACATCCTTTAAAAAACTAGGAAAATACTTTCATTTAGATAAGATAATGGCCATAATTAAAGTTTAAACAATAATTTCTGGCGAAGTATTAAAAGTGGTGAGCCTCAAGGTTGGGAGCGTCCTGAAATAAAACCGGCTGAGTAGGTTTTCGCTCTTGTGAGTGAACACAGATCACAAACTGAACAAAATTCCCATCATATGCAAAACTAACCATCAGTGTTGCTTTCCCATGGCTACTCTTACATGGGAAAGAAAAGCTTAGGGACTTTTTTAGTGCCAATATGAATAGTAATTAATACTAATTTAAGCCAAATCATCACTTAGACTGTGAACCAAATCTACCTTCGGGTACAAATAAAGTTACCTTACCTTACCTTATTTAAAAAAAAGAGGAAGAAAGAAAATGGCAACTAAAGTGACATGCCAGCAGTGTATGAAAAAAATGTTTTAAATATATGAATCAATGGATGCACAAAAACAAAGGTCTAAAATAGTGCTGCACGATCAATTTAATCCCAATCGCAATCTCGATGTCAGGCTGTGCGATTACATAACTGCATAAAAGGCTGCGATTTAATGTAAATAAATGTTGTGTGCCTGTGAACGTGACTACCTCTCCTGTAGTGTGTGGAGTTTGTTGACATCACGCCCACAAGCTGTCCTGGTGTGTGCAGCATGTATGCTCAGGTGACCGCCTGGCTCGCAGCAGTGACCAACATAGACGCAGAAGAAGAGCAGGAGCACGACCATGAACAGGCTGAGTTGGTGGCAAAAAAAACGCAACGTCTATTACATGGGAATACTTTGGATTCAGGTACGGCGACACTGAACAGAAAGACGTGCTGTGTAAAAGTTTAAAAGTTAAAGTTGCCACGTCCCGCGGCAACACGACCAATCTATATCAACACTTGAGACAGCACAGAGAAAAGTAGGAAGAGTGCATGTGAGAGAAAGCCGAGCCGTGTAACGTTAAAGACAAAGAGACAACTGAAAGCTGCCAGAGCCTCATAAAACAACATCCAAGCACAGTTACGCAAACATTTGTAAGTGTCACGGGGAAATCATGGACAAATGAAAAATTGAGCAATTTTGATAGGGTTCGTCCCACTTGACATGCTGCTGTGTTGTGCTATGGCGTGCTGGAATTTGTCATTTACGTGACAACGCCTGAACGCAACACAGGCTCGCTCTGCTGTGTGTACAGTTCCGTGCTGCGCTGCTGTGTGAGCAGCGTGTTTGACTGTGCTCAGTCTGCTGAAGGTCATTGACACACTGTCTGTCCATAACAATAACTATGTCAGGTCGGGGCCCCCCATATAATGTAGGGGAAACACTGAATCAAGCGAGAAGACTCATGATACCATTTATGTATTATATTGTAATCGCAATCGCAAATTGCGATACTGTCCACTCAAATCGCAATGGCACATTTTTCTCAAATCGTGCAGCACTAGTCTAAAATTTAAAAAGAAATAGGATAATATAAAACAAAAGAAAAAATAATAGTAGAGTACACAGAATACAACACAATGTCCTGTTGTGGGTTGAATCAGTTAGCAATTACCTAATTAAACAGATTTGTTTGCAGCCCTGGTCTGTATAAATCAAAGCTCAGACATTAAGAGCAAGAAACCCTCTGATGAAACATGATGAAATAAACACGAACTCTAATGGCTGAACTGCTTAAGAAAGTTTCATATTTTCACAGCTTTAACTTGTGCAGATTTATTAAAGGAGAATCAGGGACCTGCGGATACCCAGGGAACAAAAACACCCCTCATCATTCACAAACATGCATGTTTCATTAAGCAGAAATGATCCACTTTCCCTCCTAAAGGTAACAAGTGTGCAAAATAACTTTTCCCCTTTAACGGCTCATTTCAGAGATAAACCCATTTCAACTAATTTACACTGTTTGTATAGAAGCTGATTTCCCTGAGCAGAAAATAAAACTGAGTTGGTGATGATTGTACCAGATATAAACTGTATTTATGACAGCAGAACTGCATCCGAAGCAGAGATTTACACCGCTGCTGCAGAGCTGGAGAGCAATAAGGCCCAGAGAATGGGATGGTGTGTGTGAGAAGAGCAGTTAATCCGGATACAAGTGTATAAATGTGTGAATCTTTCTTCAGTATATTGGATTTTTGCACTACTGTGAAGACTGCGCACATAATGTACAGGTCATCTAGTTCTCTATCTACATCTCTATATGACAGAGTCGACGAGGAGGGACTCTGAGGAGGTTTGGACCTACCAGATCGAGAGGCATCTCTTTTGATTGCGTCATAGTTGTGCCAGTCTTTCCTCCGCACGCCGTCGCGCCCCACCTGAGCGTCCTTCCCCAACCGGTTGACCCCCTGTGGACACACATAAGCATGTAGAAAGGTGGTCATGAATGCTGTCATACACACCTGTGAAAAGAAAACCTGATTCATAAGCTGTTTTATGAGAAAATCAACTCTTAAATGTCACAAAAGGGGCTGGTAAAGTGTGACAGATTTATTATTGGTGGACAATTTCAAGTATCTGCAAGTTAATTTTCATAGTTATTATGTAGATCTAAAAGGCACCTTTTTTCCCATCATCAAGATTTCATTAGATGCCTGTCAAAGTAAGGTTTCGGTAAAGATTATTCATCATCCTCAGAACTCTGAAAATGTGGTTAAAGCTGCAGACTGACTGTAGAGGTGGAGTGGTGTATTTGTGCACTCATGTCCTATATTAGAAATTTGCTCAGCTACAAATTATGCTCTGAATGCAACACTATTTTTCAGCTGAATCTCAAGCACCAGATGTGTTTGACTTCTCCAGCAGCCTACAGTGTCTTTAGGAAACACTCACAAATGGTCATCAGTGATGTAAGATGTAAAAAAAAAAAAAATGTGTTGTTAGTGAGCTAAGATTTGCAAAGCAACCAGTGTGCACCTTTAAGAACACACAGTGCTGCACACACAATAAGGTTTTTCCCTGGCACTCTGTCAGTATCAGTGTCAGTGAAGAGATTTCTCCAGAGCATCAGACTCTCACTATCCAACAGCGTTCTGCTGAGAGTTTATCCACGGAAAGTGTGCTCTTCTATTTCATGCTTGACGATCCTGTGAGGAGAATATCAATGCCGTGACGCACAACTCCGCGGAGGCCTTATATACACAACCACACACATACAGACAGATACACTGCGGTTCAGCATACAAAGGCAGAGGCTGTTTCTTCTTCCACTTAGTCATTCTACACACTGAGTGACTTTCAGTGACTCGGCATCTTGAATTACAGGATCACAGAACAATGGAGAAATAATTAGCTCGATGGGAGGAGGCAATTAGTGAAACACTTTAAATACAAATGGCGCCACTGACTGCATGAAATACTGTGAATTATTAATCAGACTGCTAGCTTAGAGGAATCTGACACTGAATAACAAATTGGACAGTATATAAACACAGATCTGGTTTGAAGAGTTACGTGTGTGACTATCTTGTGTTTCAATCTTTTTGAGGACCAAGTGTTAGACCCTGACAGTGAGGACATTTTGGCTTTGGTTTTCAGGTTGAGGTTTGAGTTAGGTTCAGGTAACTGTCAAATTAAGGTTTGCAAATGGTAGTATCATGTTATGGGGACAAAAATATGTTCACACAGGAACATCAGCTGTGTTTCCATTAAACTGTAAAGCAAATTTTTAGTGAAATGTCGCACAAAAGAAATGTAAATTAGAGATTTCCATCAACTGGTTTGGAGTGTATACACTAGGCTCCTCAAGATGGGATTTTTTCCACTGTAGGGATGCACCGATCCGATATCTGGATCGATTATTGGCCCTGATATCATCAAAATTGATGGATCGGGTATTGGAAAATGCAACCTGTACCTGAGGCAATACTTTCCCTTTAAATCTATTGCGACACAAGCTACATCATACGTCATGGAGTGAAGGAGAGGATCTGCTGTGTGGAGGTATTTCACACTATTTCAACTGAACTGAACCAAACTGAAAAAGCTGGATCGGTGTATCTCTATTTCCACTGGTAAACTGAGTAGAAGAAGAAGAGGTTGTGAAATCAAAACAAAATAATTTGCATCTACAAGGGAAATATGGAGAGAGGTCTTGAGGAATTTGTTGCAATCTCACAAGTTTTAACTGTTCTTTCATGTCAGCTAGAGCAGCACAGTGGTGAAGTGGTTAGCACTGTCCTTGTGGGGGGGGGGGCTGTTCTGTTCTCCCTGTGTCAGCGTGGGTTTCCTCCAGGTACTCCAGCTTCCTCCCACAGTCCAAAGACAGGAAGGTTAACTGGTGACTCTATTGTCCGTAGGTGTGAATGTGAGTGTGAATGGTTGTCTGTCTCTATGTGTCAGCCCTGTGATAGTCTGGTGACCTGTCCAGGGTGAACCCTGCCTCTCCTCAATGTCAGCTGGGAATGAATGAATGAATGTCAGCTAGTACTGGCCAGGTCTAATGCTGTCCAGAGATGAAGACAAATGAATGTAACGATTCTTATATATGGTAAAATACAACAGTGTTACATACTGATCAGTCATGGGAGTTATAAGTTACTAATTATTTGGTGTAGGCATTTCAATATCCCATTTATTAAAACTCTTTTTTGACAAAGGCAAAAACCACCTTATGCAAGCGTAAAAACTTTTTGGCGCATCCATCCATCCATTTTCTAACCGCTTATCCTCTTGAGGGTCGCAGGGGGGGGCTGGAGCCTATCCCAGCTGACACTGGGCGAGAGGCAGGGTTCACCCTGGACAGGTCACCAGACTATCACAGGGCTGACACATACTATAAAGACAGACAACCATTCACACTCACATTCACACCTACGGTAAATTCAGGGTCACCAATTAACCTGCACGTCTTTGGACTGTGGGAGGAAGCTGGAGCACCTGGAGGAAACCCACGCTGACACGGGGAGAACATGCAAACTCTGCAGAGAAGTGCTCCCACACCCGGGATCAAACCAGGAACCCTCTTGATGTGAGGCGACAGTGCTAACAACCACACCACCGTGTCGCCTTGTTTTGGCACAACTGAGTGAATTTTTGCGAATTTTGCTGTTTCCATACCGCTTTTCTAATAGGATAAAAATGGCTATTATGGGAACTCTCATCTCATCTCATCATACATACTATGTAACACAACTATATAGTAGTACATATAGACAGACTGCATTGGTCTGCACATCTGAAATCCACACTCTACATCGTAACGTCTAAATTACATTTTTTAAAGACTTCTCATTCTCTTGGAATGAAAGCTTTTATCACAACTCTCCATCATTCCTCCACATAATATCGGACTGCCTGGGTGAACCCGACACAGGGAAAACCTTGAACACCGTGTTTCAGCTTGTTTATTATTCCATCTCCTGACTGGCCTCTGCTTAGACACAGAGATGCTGTATAGGATCCTAATCTAAAATTCATTCAGCTCTCTCTCCACTCCTTCCTCTATTCTTTTTTCCCTCTTCTGCTCACCTCTCTGCTTCACCCCCTCTCCCACTCTCCTTCCCCTCTTTCTGTCACAGGCAGATGCCCTCAGTGTGTCATACAAGGACCTGACAAGCAGCAAGAGTCCATCTGTGCAAATTTATACTAAAAAGAAGCGAGATTGTGCCGCCCCATTTCCTCCTGATTAAAATTTCAGCGCACGTCGCCATGATATTCCTCTGGGGCTTTTCTTGCTGCTCAACAAGACCTTGAAAAACAAGACAAGGAGAGAGGAAAACTTTTCTGCTAATGTGTGCACATGTTTAGTTTTGTGGAAGCAGAACGGGGGCGGGTACTGAACCTAAAGAAAGTAATTGAGACTGACAGTCGAAGAGGATGGGTATGAAAAAGACAGAATAATCTTGAGGAACAGATGGGGGATGCAATCGCTTGTATGTAATAAAAGTGGAATAAGACAAGTAAAAGGACTAAATGGCCAGTTGACTTGTACAAATTGTGGATGTTGTTGGGCTGAAAGACAATACCAAAAGCTCAAATTAAACACGGCTAACCAGTGTATGCTTCTGTTTAGATATTCATTTTGGGAGCGTCATTAGTTATGCATTCCATAATTTTGGCTTCATGATGGTGTTAAATGAAGTCAGGGAATCACCAAAGTGATTACAACTCATCCTGAGGAGGACATAAAAGTGTGTACCAGCAATCCCTCCATTACCGGCATTTCACTATTTCACTCAATCTGTGCCGAAGTGGACTGATCAACAGACACTGCCATTCACAGAGTCATAGGCCTACTTGTAGCATTGCTAAAAACACAGTTAATAATAACCAGACGTTCTGAAATAAAGCAGCCAATGGCAGACATTTAAGTCCATAAAGAGCTTATTAGGGGGGCAAAAAATACAAATGAGAGCTACAGCTATCTTAAGACTTCAGCCCTCGCAATTGTTTCGTCGAAAATATCCACATCAGTGCGGACACTGTCCCACAAGGGACACAGTATTAGATTTGTAGAAGCTGATGAATCTTTCCAGTAAATACTGGCTGAAAACAGGATGCTCTGTTGATCAGACAACAGATAAGAAAGCAGTCAGGGGACAAGATTCTCGGGAAGCGCAAACCTCCGTCAACACTGTCCAATGCTATAAAAAATTTTTTAATGAGTTTAATGCAAGGAAGTATAATGCATCTAGATCATGAGGAGTTTTGCATTAATCATTGTGATTAACAATCATGGGATAGATGTACCAGATTTTTCTTTATTAAAGTCAGTGCAATATCTTATGTGAAATATTGGAAATGTTCAAAAGGCCTATCCTGAGGAATCTTGGTCTAATGGCCGAAACACAGGGCACACGGATGCAGTGCCACACTTCTGCTGCAGCAGAGCATGTCCATTATAATCAACTGAAGCTGCTTCACTGACCACGGGAGCTGCACTCGCCAGGACGGGCATCGCATGGCTCTTCTCTAGTTTTATCCGGCTGGTCTTTTTTTTTTCTCTCTCTAAGCACCGAGAACCACCAAAAGGTAAAAGCTACTCAGAACTGTATAAAAAACAAGTACAGTCGGTCCAAAAAGTATTGAAATGAATACCTCATTGTGCCAGAGGTAATGTGAAGCAGTACAGCAACCTTGTGGGTGCCTTCACATTTCACGTGAAAATAAATCAATCAAGTCAATGAATCCTAGAGTTAAAATGATCCAGTTAATTAATTCAGTACCAGTTAATATAACTTACACTTCCAAACCCCTCATAACCAACCTCTTTAACACTTGGCAAAACAAATTATGCACACAGTGAAGCTGGCAGTAATCACACAAAGACAGAGTCCGTGTAGCAGGTAAAACATCTGTTTCTGCCCTGCCTACGTGACACATTGCTTCCGTACCTGATGTATTTTGA